CTTCCTTCCTTCCTTCCTTCCTTCCTTCCTTCCTTCCTTCCTTCCTTCCTTCCTCTCTTTTTCTTTTCTTTTTTGCTATTTCAAATGGTCAGGTTCTTTAGAACTGGCAGCACCCAGACTGAAATAATACAAGTTTTTTTTTTTTTAAAAAAAAGATGTTACTCTTCAAGAATAGGATTGGCGTGTTTGAAGTGCCCTTTTAAGCAAACAAGGATCCAAAAATGGAAGCTTCACGTTGAAATCTTCAATTTCGACATGTTTATTTCCACCAGCTCCATTCCTACCTGCTTTTCGAATTTCAGCAGGAAAGAAGGAGAGGAGCGTGCGAAAGGGTCATAGTTAATAACATTTTTACAAACCTTTCTTGGAAATGCATAACTGAAAACCACAATTATATGGTTTTTAAAAACTGGTAATCAGAAGAATTAAAGTGGGTTTAGGAGAGAAATCGCACAATGGAGTGTTAGTAGTGTTTTAAAAGGTAAAGTTTTGTTTGAGTTGACTTGACGAATGTGGATAAGTCTGTGCCGCTTGCTAGGCATCAAAATGGAAATTATTTAATGTTGCCTTTTCCTTTCCTCACAACCCCTGTCTCCCATCCAAGTACTAACCAAGTCTGACTCTGCTTAGCTTTTTGAAGTTCAGCCACAACTATCTATGTTCTATGTGAACCCACCCAGTAGTAAATAGGATTGTATCTAGCACAACGTATTTCCCAGTAAAGTGTTTAAGGTTGCAAACTTAAGTTTGTTATATTGTGTTACTTCTTTGGAAGGACGGGCTTGTTTTTTTTTTTTTTCTAGCCGAGTTTGTGGGCTTATGAGAGTTTGTTTTCTAACCTTTTTGAGTTTGTTGATTTGCTTGATCGGTCTGCTGAAAATTTCTTACGTTTCCTTCTAAAGATCAGCCTTCCTTGGCCCGAAAACTGGGTCGTTGTTTTGTTTTTTAAATCCCGTTATTACCATGGAAATGTAAAATAAAAATCCTACTTTTAGTTAGGACTTTGCGATTAAGGCAGCCCTCCATAGAGTCCAATTTCTCGTTAAAATGCTGAAGGAGAATTTGGGTGCCTTTCGTTAACATTTTCCCTTCGACCTTGAAGGTCATTGAATGCTTTGAGACCGACAAAAAAACACATATTGAGTTTCTTCATTAGAGAGGCAGAATAAAATACCACTAGTCCTCTACTTATGATGGTTTGTTTAGTGAAGGTTCAAAGGTTAGAACTTATGACCATTTTTAACACTTACAACTGTTGTAACAACACCAGGGGGATTCGGACACTTGACAACAAACTCACGTTTATGACAGTTGCGGTGTCCCCTAGATCATAGAATAACAAGAGTTGGAAGGGACCTTGGAGGTCATCTAGTCCAACCCCCTGTTCAAGCAGGAGAGTCTATTCCAAATATTAGCCTCTACCTAGGATCGAACTCACAACCCTCCTGATTGTGAGGTGAGAGCTCTACTCTACCTCTAGGCAACCAGAGCCCTGGGTTCACGTCATCCCCTTTTGCAAGTCAAGGGTTCACTTAACAACCAACTTAACAACTGCAGCGATTCCCTTAACAACGGTGGCAAGAAAAGTCATAAAATGAGACAGAGTTCGCTTCAATGCCTCGCTTAGCAACAGAAATGTTGGGCTCGTCAGATGTGGCTCCATTCAAAATCCAAGAAAGAAAAACGTAGGCTCCATTTAAAATAGAGAAAAGGACTTTTACTGAATACACTCCCCGACAGTTCAAATTGGACACCCGATCTGAGGTGTGGATAATGTCATGTGGGTACATCTTCAGGTGGCATTTCACACACCTGGTATGCTAAGATGGTCAACTTTGGCCAAGGAAGGATAAGTGGCTGCATTTGCCCAGTAAGCAGGAAATCATCCCAACTTTTACAATTCACACAACTTCAACCTCCAGCACCCTTCCCCCCCCACCCCCCACGAAACCCAATTATTCCTCCCCCTCCCCATTTCTCTGGCATCTGGAAAGAGTCCAGTGGAAGAAGAAATCTTGGAGGCTGACAGGACTCGACTATGGTCGTAAGTCGAAAACGAACGTTCTGTTTTAGAGTTCAGATTTCTGCTCGTTAGCAAAACCGATGCACTTTCCTTTTCCATCTTAAGAGCTTTCTTTCTTTTTTTATGAAGGTGCTGGAATTTTAGTAGCTCCAAATCAGGTGTGCTTGACATGATCAAATGTCAAGATTAAAACAAAAAATGAAGGGAAAAGAAGAAGCTTAGCCATTTTGTTTTATTCTTTTACAGTGTTTAAACCAGTAATTGAAAAAATGGCAGAGCTCTCTATGGTAATTGGAGAACAGTTAAGCTCTGATTGCATTGTAACATAATCTTCGATTACGTTAGTCTTATTTTTAGAAAGATATCTTTGATATTAGCGTAACTCTTATCCTGCAGGAAGTTGTCCCATGACTAGTTGGCCATGGCAAGTTGGCTGTGAAAAGTTGGCTCTAGCAAGTTGGCCGTGACAAGTGGGCCATGATGAATTGGCCATGACAAGTTGGCCTTGGTGAGTTGATCATGATGGCCATGATATGTTGGCCTTGGTGAGTTGACCACGATGTGTTGGCCATGATAAGTTGGTCATGGTGAGTTGACCACGATGAGTTGGCCATGATAAGTTGGTCATGGTGAGTTGACCACGATGAATTGGCTAATGGAATAGGAAAATGGAGGATGTCCACAAGTGAAGGGAGAAATCTTGGCCCCTGTTCTGATGTTATGAGTGAAATGATGGTTACCCCATGCTGTTTGTCTAGGGCAGCCTTGTTTACTGATCAGTTACACCTGTGCAGGTATGCTAAAAACCTCCTGAAGCAACGTTTATTTGTAGAGAGCAACTGAAGTGAGGGTGTGATTGTTGTTGATTTTGTAGTGGAAACCAGCTTCCTTTGAGTGATTTAATGTATAAGTATGTTCACAAGCATGACAACGCTCACCCATGTGTTGGCTTACTCCTTCTAAGAGGAAGCTCTGGGTTTCCTCAATGGTACGACGTGTATTCCTAGGTCAAAGGAGGTGCTGTAAGAAAACGGTGGTGGAAAGCTTGAAGGTTGAAAAACTTGATGAGCACTTCAATTCTTGTCATCAAGACCTGAAGCTTAACTCCACTTAAGGCAACAACAGTCTGGAGTCACCTAATTACTCAATTAAATGAGGGTGTCATCCACCTATCTCCCCTGTTTATTTAAAGCCAGTGTGAACAATGGAGAACTACACTATCCCCCGCCCTGCCCCCGTGGCTGAAGACCATATTGATATACGACTGCAGTTGTTAAGCTGTTAACAGAAATTTCTGTTGCTAAGTGAACCATTTATTAAGTGAGGTTTGCCCCACTTTTCTTGCCACTGTTGTTAACTGAGTTGTTAAGTTGTTAAGGTCATAGCACGATTGTCTCCCTAGGCTCAAGGTTGACTCATCAGCTTTTCATCCTTCGGGGTCGGTAAAAGGAGGACCCCGATTGGGGGGGGGGGGGGGGGGGGGGCAAGATGCAGCCTCTGTGAAGTTGGGGATACTGAAAGTTTTTCAGAAGAAATTGGACAATTTGTCTAAAACGGGGTTTCCTGCCTTAGCAGGGAGTTAACAGAAAACAGATAATCAGAGTCAGAAGGGACCTTGCAGGTCATCTAGTCCTACCCCCTGCCCAAGCAGGAGACCCTACCCCATTTCTGACAGATGGGAGTCCAATCTCTTCTTGAAAGTCTCAAGTGATGAAGCTCCCAGGACTTCCAAGGGCAACTTCTGTTCCATGGGTTGATTGTTCTCACTGTCAGAAAGTTTCTCCTTCTTTCCAGGTTAAATCTCTCCTTGTTCAGTTTCCATCCGTTATTCCTTGTCTGGCCTACGGGTGCTTTAGAAAACAGCTTGACCCCTTCCTCCCTGTGGCAGCCCCTCAAATTTTGGAAGACCACTATCATGTCTCCCCTGGTCCTTCTCTTCACTAGACTAGCCAGGCCCAGTTCCTGTAACCGTTCATTGTACGTTTTAGTCTCCAATCCCCTAATCTTCCTGGCTGCTCTTCTCTATACTTTTTCTAGAGTCTCAACTTCTTTTTTATAGTGTGGTGACCAAAACTGGATGCAGGACTCTAGGTGTGGCCTTACTAAGGCTTTACAGAGTGGTATTAGTGCCTCCCTTGATCTTGATTGTATCCCTCTGTTGATGCAACTTAGGATTGCATTAGCTTTTTTGGCTGCTGCTGCACACGGCTGGCTCCTATTTATCTGGTTGTCCTCTAAGACTCCAAGATCCCTCTCACAGTTCCTGCTATTGAGCCTGGTTTCACCCAGTCTGTATGTGTACTTTTGATTTTTCTTGCCTAAGTGTAGGACTTTGTTTTTATCTACATTGATTTTCATTTTGTTAAATAGGACCCAGTGTTCTAGTCTGTTGGTCTTGTAGACTAGAAGAACTCCAAGTTTCCTTCCAACTTGGATATTCTGTTATTCAGATTCTGGTAGGCCAGTGGAGAAGAATGTGTGAACAGC